GCTTTACTGCCACTACCTTGAAATTCTTTTGTTCCTCTAACAGTTTCTCCTCAGAATACCTCATCAGGTCAGGATAAAGACAATCCCCTTGCACTGATTGAGTGTCTGTGAAACCTGAGCCCCAAGAATGTCGCATATCGCACGTAGACGGTCACTCTCATCTGGTGACGAGACCGCAACTATCAGGCTGCCATCTCGCTGAGGGGTGATCCGTGGATCCCGTTGACAACCTCAACTATCTTGCAATGCACTTCAAAAATATCAAGATCCACGATGGACACACCACCAATGGTTTTTACTACAAGGTACTTCTTATATGAGATACTTTCATATTTACCAGGTAAGATTTCCTTGACGGATTGAGGAGGGCTTTTCTCCTCACCTGGCCTGGGAGCCCAGGAAGCACTTCTATTCCCATTTTTGTCCTTTGGAAGCTGGAAAGGTTCTAGAGTGACAACCTGTTCCAGAGGGATTGGCCAGGGGGTTACGTAGTTCGCTAGGGAGAGAGCCAGTCCTTTGTAAATTGTCGGAGACAGAATGACATATGGACAAAGAAAGTAACAGACTGAGTTATAAAAAACATAAGGAGGCCAAGGGCTAGACCAGTAACAAGATTGCGTGACGAAATAACGAAATTATATATATATATATATATATATATATATATGCTTATATGTACGCATACATGTATATGTACATATATATACATATACGTATATTAATAAACATATGTATATATATATATGAATATGTATATATAAACAGACACACACACATATACGCACACGTGTGTGTGTGTCTACAAAGCACCGACATCTATTGTATGTGAAAGTAACCAAGCATAACGTACACGGTGCTTCCGTCGCCACACACGAGGACGCGTTGCTTCGTGTTGATCGCTTTCGGTTGCTCGCAAAACCTGTCGGATCCTGAAAACACAGACCGTGTTAGAAAAGTTCTCTTGTGGCTGCATGTGTGTATGGATATGGATACATACATATATATATATATGTGTATACATATATATATATATATATATATATATATATATATATATATATATATATATATATATATATATATATATATATATATATATATATATATATATACATATATATACATGTGTGTATATGTATGTATGTATATATATATATATATATATATATATATATATATATATATATATATATATATATGTGTGTGTGTGTGTGTGTGTGTGTGTGTGTGTGTGTGTGTGTGTATGTATAAATATACACATATATATATACACAAACACAGTAACACAAAGTGTTCAAAGACAGTGTACACAAAGATACAAAGGAAATCAGCCACTGTAAGAAAAGAAAATAAATCGTGACGCTTCGAATAATAAACCGAAATAGATACATGGAGAGAATTTTTACAAGAATATATATTGGTAGAGAGACAGAACGAACCAGAGTTGTATCGGGTCTCAGGAGGAGGGACGAAGAGTCTGGGGAAGGCTTTGCTAACTCACGACGAAGTAAGATCATCTAAGCCCCATGGACCAGCACTCAAGTTAGAATTAGCTATTTTTTTAAATTAACATTTATATATACATATACATGTGCATATAAATATATATATTTATATAAGTAAATTATCGTTTATATGTAGTGCATGTGTATAAATATATATACATATATACAGATACATATACATGATAATATATATATATATATATATATATATATATATATATATATATATATATATATACATATATATGTATACATATATATATACATTTAAATATATATATATATACATATGTATATAATGCACATATACAGTCACGCTCCGCCCACCAATAGAGCTGATGCCCAACGACCTCTTGCGTGCCTCACCTATGGCACTGCAGGGGATGTCTGAAGGCACACACAGATTCGGCATTTGCGTGCACCTTTTCGTCCCCGGCAGGCACGCCACATTGCTGCCTTGGTCCAGCCCGGGGATGGATCCTCCAGCGCCTCCCTCTGTCACGAGGGGCTTGCTCTGTGTGGATGGAAAGAGGGGGGACGTGATGCTGTTAACGGTATGGATCAATAATTAAATCAGTGTGAGGTGGAGTTTCGTTTCCAACAAAGTATAATTTTGTCTTCAACATTCGTTAGTTGAAATGGTATAATTACTAAAGCGAACATTTACCAAAGTCTTTGAATACTTACATGGCAGCCTTTATTATCTGCATTCGCTCTACAAAAGGCGTTGAGAAATGTCTGAACATCCGTCTGGTTATGCACGTACGTAGCGTCTGGAAAAAGCATTGCGGGACGACAATGAGTAGATTTTAAGGCTACTGGCTGGAGATGGAGAGGGGGTGGGGGGAGACGGACAGCGAGAAAGGAGATAGAATGAGGAGTTAGGGAATAAAGAAGCGAGGGCAAATTGGTTGGAGATAGAGAAAGAGAGTGGGGGTGAGGAAGAGAGAACGTGAGAGAGAAAGAGTGAGGAAGAGGGAAAGGCGAGATAAAAACAGGACGGACGTGAAAAGATAAGTTGGCATGCAAATTAAGTAACATATAAAGAAGCCTCATGTCAAATTCTTAAATCAGTAACGATCTTCTCATTCTTATAATACGATAATATACGTCTTATAGGCCCGTGCACCCGGCTTCGTGAAGGTCACTGCCGACGGCTGCAGTGACGGAGTAGCTTCGTTTTTTAATATTTCATCCTTTTGTTTTCATAATCAAAGAAAAAGTGTTGTCTAATGTCGAGTGAATACGCGTCGACTTGTCATGATTTTGTTTCTATACCGCTATATTGTTTTGTTTATCTTTAATCGCGCATTTACTTATAAAGCTGAACAGACCTTCTGAACAAGCAAAGACATTTTTTCCTAGTATTACTTCCTTAAGTAATACTAGGAAAAGATTCCTGAAGTGATACGCTAGCCAACGTCTTGATTCTGTGAGGAAAAAGTTCTGTTTCTGCCTTTCTCGAAGCATTAGAAGAACATTGCCTTTATTAAACAAACTTTTTGCAACAATGTAACTAAAATAATGCACTTTTCACAAGCAAGAACATGTAGTTTTTTCACTAATAATTAAGATGAATATTTATGCATATATATATATATATATATATATATATATATATATATATATATGTGTGTGTGTGTGTGTGTATATATATAAGCACATATATGCATGTGTGTGTACAGACACATATACGTATATATACATGTTTACAAATATGTGTATGTATATATTCACAAACACATACGCACGTGTAAATATATTTATATATAAGAATATATATATTTCTATAAATATAAACATATATTCATATATATAAGAATATATATACTTATATGTAAGCATATAGATTTATAGATATGCATATACACACATATATATATGTTTATGTATATGTACATATGTAAGTGTGTATATATAAATATATAACATACATATATATATATATATATATATATATATATATATATATATAAATGTACATATATATGTATGTATAAACATATTCATACTCAAACTGACACAGTCACGCCCCGCCCACCAATCAAGCTGATGCCCAACGACCTCTTGCGTGCCTCACCTATGACACTGCAGGGGATGTCTGAAGGCACACACAGTTTCGGCATTTGCGTGCACCTTTTCGTCCCCGGCAGGCACGCCACATTGCTGCCTTGGTCCAGCCCGGGGATGGAGCCTCCAGCGCCTCCCTCTGTCACGAGGGGCTTGCTCTGTGTGGATGGAAAGAGGGGGGAGGTGATGCTGTTAACGGTATGGATCAATAATTAAATCAGTTTGAGGTGGAGTTTCGTTTCCGACAAAGTATGATTTTGTCTTCAATATTCGTTAGTTGAAATGATGTAATTACTAAAGCGAACATTTACCAAAGTCTTTGAATACTTACATGGCAGCCTTTATTATCTGCATTCGCTCTACAAAAGGCGTTGAGAAATGTCTGAACATCCGTCTGGCTATGCACGTACGCAGCGTCTGGAAAAAGCAGATTTTAAGGCTACTGGCTGGAGATAGAGAGGGGGTGGGGGTGGGGGGAGATGAATAGCGAGAAAGGAGATAGAATGAGGAGTCGGGGGATAAAGAGGCGAGGGGAGATTAATTAGAGAAAGAGAGAGAGAGAAAGGGGAGGGGGGGAGTGAGGAAGAGAGAAAGAGAAAGAGATGAAACCAGGACGGATGTGAAGAGATAAGTTGGTAGGTAAATTAAGTAAGAAATAAAGAAGCCTCATGCCAAATTCTTAACTCAGTGACGGTCTTATCCTTATAATACGGGAATATACGTCTTTTAGGCCCGTGCACCCGGCTTCGTGAAGGTCACTGCCGACGGCTGCAGTGACAAAAGCTTCGTTTTTTTAATATCTCATCCATATTACTTTCGTCTTCATAATCAAAGCAAATTGTTGTCTAATGTCGAGTGAATACACGTCGTCTTGTCATTATTTTCTGTTTCTATACCGCTACGTTGTTTTGTTTATCTTTAAATGCGCATTTACCTGTAAAGCCGAACTGACCTTCTGAACAAGCGAGGACTTTTTTTCCTAGTATTATTTCCTTAAGTAATACTAGGAAAAGATTCCTGGAGTGATACGCTAGCCAACGTCTTGATTCTGTGAGGAAGTTTCTGTTTCTGCCTTTCTCGAAGCATTAGAAGAACACTGCATTTATTAAACAAACTTTGTGCAGCAATGTAGCTAAAATGATGCACTTTAACATGCAAGAACAAGTAGTTTTTCACAGATAATTAATATGAATATTCATATATATGTAAATATATAAAAACACATACACATACATATATGCATATGTATGTGAATGTGTATGTATGTGTACACACAGACATATATATACATATACACATATATTCATATATACATGTGTAAATATCTTACAAATGTGTATATATTCACTCACATGTTTGTGGATATATATATATACATATATATAATATGCATATATATATATATATATACATATAGCATACAAACGCATATGCAGATATATGTGTGCATATATATTGATATATATATATATATATATATATATGAATATATATATATATATATATATATATATATATATATATATATGTGAATACATGTATTTATAATCATATATATGAATATATATATACTGATATATACATTCATACATACATATATATATATATTACATATATACACACACACACACACACGTATACATATACATATACATATATATGTACATGTGTATATATATGTAAATTATCATGTATATGTATTACATATATATGTATATAAACACACACGAACATATATATATATATATAAAATAAATAAATATAAATATGATAATATATATAACATACATATATATAAATGTACATGTGTAAGTAGATATAAACACGTGTATATGTGTGTTTGTATAGTCATAAATCCACACGAAAACCATATCTCAAACTGCCACAGCCCCGCCCTGCACACCAATCGAGCTGATGCCCAACGACCTCTTGCGTGCCTCACCTATGACACTGCAGGGGATGTCTGAAGGCACACACAGATTCGGCATTTGCGTGCACCTTTTCGTCCCCGGCAGGCACGCCACATTGCTGCCTTGGTCCAGCCCGGGGATGGATCCTCCAGCGCCTCCCTCTGTCATGAGGGGCTTGCTCTGTGTGGATGGAAAGAGGGGGGACGTGATGCTGTTAACGGTATGGATCAATAGTGAAATCATTGTGAGGTGGAGTTTCGTTTTCAACAGAGTATGATTTTGTCTTCAACATTCGTTAGTTGAAATGATGTAATTACTAAAGCGAACATTTTAAGGCTACTGGCTGGAGATAGAGAGGGGGTGGGGGTGGGGGGAGATGAATAGCGAGAAAGGAGATAGAATGAGGAGTCGGGGGATAAAGAGGCGAGGGGAGATTAATTAGAGAAAGAGAGAGAGAGAAAGGGGAGGGGGGGAGTGAGGAAGAGAGAAAGAGAAAGAGATGAAACCAGGACGGATGTGAAGAGATAAGTTGGTAGGTAAATTAAGTAAGAAATAAAGAAGCCTCATGCCAAATTCTTAACTCAGTGACGGTCTTATCCTTATAATACGGGAATATACGTCTTTTAGGCCCGTGCACCCGGCTTCGTGAAGGTCACTGCCGACGGCTGCAGTGACAAAAGCTTCGTTTTTTTAATATCTCATCCATATTACTTTCGTCTTCATAATCAAAGCAAATTGTTGTCTAATGTCGAGTGAATACACGTCGTCTTGTCATTATTTTCTGTTTCTATACCGCTACGTTGTTTTGTTTATCTTTAAATGCGCATTTACCTGTAAAGCCGAACTGACCTTCTGAACAAGCGAGGACTTTTTTTCCTAGTATTATTTCCTTAAGTAATACTAGGAAAAGATTCCTGGAGTGATACGCTAGCCAACGTCTTGATTCTGTGAGGAAGTTTCTGTTTCTGCCTTTCTCGAAGCATTAGAAGAACACTGCATTTATTAAACAAACTTTGTGCAGCAATGTAGCTAAAATGATGCACTTTAACATGCAAGAACAAGTAGTTTTTCACAGATAATTAATATGAATATTCATATATATGTAAATATATAAAAACACATACACATACATATATGCATATGTATGTGAATGTGTATGTATGTGTACACACAGACATATATATACATATTACACATATATTCATATATACATGTGTAAATATCTTACAAATGTGTATATATTCACTCACATGTTTGTGGATATATATATATACATATATATAATATGCATATATATATATATATATACATATAGCATACAAACGCATATGCAGATATATGTGTGCATATATATTGATATATATATATATATATATATATGAATATATATATATATATATATATATATATATATATATATATATATGTGAATACATGTATTTATAATCATATATATGAATATATATATACTGATATATACATTCATACATACATATATATATATATTACATATATACACACACACACACACACGTATACATATACATATACATATATATGTACATGTGTATATATATGTAAATTATCATGTATATGTATTACATATATATGTATATAAACACACACGAACATATATATATATATATAAAATAAATAAATATAAATATGATAATATATATAACATACATATATATAAATGTACATGTGTAAGTAGATATAAACACGTGTATATGTGTGTTTGTATAGTCATAAATCCACACGAAAACCATATCTCAAACTGCCACAGCCCCGCCCTGCACACCAATCGAGCTGATGCCCAACGACCTCTTGCGTGTTTACCAAAGTCTTTGGATACTTACATGGCAGCCTTTTATATATGCATTCGCTTTACAAAAGGCGTTGAGAAATGTCTGAACATCCGTCTGATTATGCACGTTCACAGCGTCTGGAAAAAGCATTGCGGGACGACAATGAATAGATTTCAAGGCTACTGGCTGGAGGGGGGGGGTAGCGAGAAATGAGATAGAATAAGGACTCGGGGGATAAAAAAGCCAGAGGAGATTGGTTGGAGATAGAGAGAGAGAGAGAGAAACAGAGAAATAGAAGGGGAGAGTGAGGAAGAGAGAAAGAGAGAGAGAGAAATGAAAACAGGACGGATGTGTAAAGATAAGTTGGCAGGTAAAATAAGTAAGAAATAAAGAAGCCTCATGTCAATTTCTTAACTCAGTGACAGTCTTCTCATCCCTATAATACGGTAATATACGTATTTTAGGTCCGTGCGTCCGGCTTCGTGAAGGTCACTGCCGACGGCTGCAGTGACGGAGTAGCTTCGTTTTTAAATATTTTATCCACATTCCTTTCGTTTTCATAATCAAAGCAAAGTGTTGTCAAATGTCGAGTGAACAAACTTTATGCAGCAATGTAACTAAAATAATGCACTTTTAACGGAGCAAGAACAAGTAGTTTTTCATTAATGATTAAAACATATATGTATACACGTATAAATATATACATATATAAACATATATATATGTATATGTATGTGTATGTGTATGTATGAGTATACTCTGACATATATATACATATTCATGTGTGTGTCCTACAAATGTGTATATATTCACACACACGTGTGTGTGGATATATATATAAGTTATATGCATATGTATATCTATATATATACATTTACATACACACACATATACATGTATCTGTATATATATAGGAATATATATATACATATATACATATGAAGATATATATGTATAAATATAAACATACATATGTGAATGAATATATAAATTTACATAAATACATATATGAATTTATATGAATACATATATAACATATATATGAATATATATATATATATATATATATATATATATATATATATACATTCATATATATATATTTACATGCACACACTCATATATACATATACATATATATGTACATGTGTATATATATGTAAATCATCATGTATATGTAGTACATATACATGTATATAAACACGCACGCACATATATATATATATATATATATATATATATATATATGAAATGCATATACATAAAGGTGATAATGGATTTATGTAACACATATGTATAAATGTATATATACATGTATGTATAAATATATATATGTGTGTTTGTGAAGGCATAAATCTACACCAAAACCATATCTCAAGCTGTCAGGCTCACCTATAACACTGCAGGGGATGTCTGAAGGCACACACACATTCGGCATTTGCGTGCACCTTTTCGTCCCCGGCAGGCACGCCACATTGCTGCCTTGGTCCAGCCCGGGGATGGAGCCTCCAGCGCCTCCCTCTGTCACGAGGGGCTTGCTCTGTGTGAATGGAAAGAGGGGGAACGTGATGCTGTTAACGGTATGGATCAATAATTAAATCAGTTTGAGGTGGAGTTTCGTTTCCGACAAAGTATAATTTTGTCTTCAACATTCGTTAGTTGAAATGATGTAATTACTAAAGCGAACATGTACCAAAGTCTTTGAATACTTACATGGCAGCCTTTATTATCTGCATTCGCTCTACAAAAGGCGTTGAGAAATGTCTGAACATCCGTCTGGCTATGCACGTACGCAGCGTCTGGAAAAAGCAGATTTTAAGGCTACTGGCTGGAGATAGAGAGGGGGTGGGGGGGGGGGCATGAATAGCGGGAAAGGAGATAGAATGAGGAGTCGGGGGATAAAAAGGCGAGAGGAGATTGGTTGGAGATAGAGAGAGAGAGAAAGGGGAGGGGGGGAGTGAGGAAGAGAGAAAGAGAAAGAGATGAAACCAGGACGGATGTGAAGAGATAACTTGGTAGGTAAATTAAGTAACAAATAAAGAAGCCTCATGCCAAATTCTTAACTCAGTGACGGTCTTATCCTTATAATACGGGAATATACGTCGTTTAGGCCCGTGCACCCGGCTTCGTGAAGGTCACTGCCGACGGCTGCAGTGACAAAAGCTTCGTTTTTTTAATATCTCATCCATATTACTTTCGTCTTCACAATCAAAGCAAATTGTTGTCTAATGTCGAGTGAATACACGTCGTCTTGTCATTATTTTCTGTTTCTATACCGCTACGTTGTTTTGTTTATCTTTAAATGCGCATTTACCTGTAAAGCCGAACTGACCTTCTGAACAAGCGAGGACATTTTTTCCTAGTATTATTTCCTTAAGTAATACTAGGAAAAGATTCCTGGAGTGATACGCTAGCCAACGTCTTGATTCTGTGAGGAAAAAGTTCTGTTTCTGCCTTTCTCGAAGCATTAGAAGAACACTGCATTTATTAAACAAACTTTGTGCAGCAATGTAGCTAAAATGATGCACTTTTAACATGCAAGAACAAGTAGTTTTTCACTGATGATTAATAAGAATATTTATATATATATGTAAATATATACACATACATATATGCATATGTATGTGAATGTGTATGCATGTGTACACACAGACATATATATATACATATACACATATATTCATATATACATATGTGTAAATATCTTACAAATGTGTATATATTCACCCACATGTTTGTGGATATATATATATATATATATATATATATAATATGCATATATATATATATATATATATATATATATATATATATATATATACATATATACATATAGCATACAAACGCATATGCAGATATATGTGTGCATATATATTGATATATATATGAATATATATATATATATATATATATATATATATATATATATATGAATACATGTATTTATAAACATATATATGAATACATATATATACTGATATATACATTCATACATACATATATATATATATTACATATATATACACACACACACACGTACACATATACATTTACATATATATGTACATGTGTATATATATGTAAATTATCATGTATATATATTACATATATATGTATATAAACACACACGAACATATATATATATATATGAAATAAATAAATATAAATATGATAATATATATATAACATACATATATATAAATGTTCATATGTATGTAGATATAAACACGTGTATATGTTTGTATAGTCATAAATCCACACGAAAACCATATCTCAAACTGCCACAGCCCCGCCCTGCACACCAATCGAGCTGATGCCCACCGACCTCTTGCGTGCCTCACCTATGA